CAGCATTAATTTCTTTGTGTGAACTTATGCAGCATTTCACTTTATATTGATGTCATATGTATTGCTGTGCCCTTAGTTTCTGTTCTTGGTTGGCCAGGGAAACAGACAGTCTGGGGAAGCTGAGCTCACTTAGGGAACTGTCTCTGTCTGGAGAAACCTCCCTTTTCGATTGGTCGGCCATCTTGTAACATTGTGGGGAAAACAAAAGTGAAGGCTCATTCAGGTTGATTCACCTATCGCGCCAAAATGAATTGCCTCGGCAACATGTGGCCAGAGGGAAGGTCTAGGGGCGTAGGCCAAATTTAACGGGGCCCTATCCAGAGAGGCCCCCTTTGAACATAGCATGCCAAAGAAGCGTGCGCCTTCCCTTCTTCTCCCCATGCCGAAATTCCAGGTGAACAGCTTCCCACTCGGTCTAATTAAGCGGCGCCAAGGCTGGAAAAGACCCTAGCCCTTTGCCATGGTGATTCCGGCCCCCAGGGCTCCAACCCCACTTGGGAAGGTTTCCCGGGCCCCATCGGGACTCACCACCACTGGCGGTGAAATCGGTCCTCATTCCTTTCGGCTGTGGCGATCCTCCAAATGAACGTGGGTACGCTGCGCAGCCAGGCTCCTCCGCACCCCTGGAGCGATAAAGGGGTAGGCCCTCTGTCCTAAGGTCGGGTAAGGCCAGTGGGTGGTAGCCAACGGCCGTCTCAGAGCTACTCCGAGGCCAGGGACAACCCAGCCCAGACTCGCTCGCCCTCACGCCTTGCTGCAGTTGAAGCACTGTAAGTGCAGTGGCTCTTTTTTTCTTCTCTCTTATTCCTGTGGAAACTAGGCGCTCCAAATGAGCGCTGCTGGAGCAGGGCCGGCAAGAACTGGGGAAGTTGCAGGATAAGCCCCGCCTCACAGGGATCGAAGACTGGAGCCGACCCTGCAGAAGGGGGCGGAGCTTATCGTACAGACTGTCTCGCTATCCAAACCACTGGAGAATGTTTACTTTTGATCTAAATATATGTTAAAATTTTTGTTACATTTTTGATTTAAGATGTGGCCCTCTTTAGGCATTGGGCACTCTAATGCGGCTCCCATGTGCCAGAATGTTGGGGACCACCTAAGAGGTTTTTTCAATACAGGCTGAGTTCTAGAAGAAAAACACTACAGGGCATGCACAGAATACCTTTCCCTCAGTTTAAAAAAACCGCAATCTCCTTTCCTCTCACAGCATACTTAATGATACTTGAGTAGCATACTTAAGTAGCATATTTAAAGATGCAGAGGAAGCCATGGAATCATTGAATAATATTTTAAATTTCTCTGTGAAAATGTATCTCTCATAAGAAAATAAGAGGCTTCCTGGATCACAATAGAGGTTTCTCAAATCCAGTGTACTATTTTCCATATTAGCCAGTCAGATGCTTCTGGGAATCCCATCGTCAGGGAATAAATTTATTTATTTATTTATTTATTGCTTTAACTTTTACCCTGCCCTCCCCGCTGGAGCAACCCTCAAAAGTTGCCCCCCAAAAAACTGTCATTGAAGAGTATATTGTTCCTGGTTATGGAAGTTCTATTTGCTTAGCATAGCTACTCATGGACTTGAATCTGTCTAATCGTCTTTTAAAGTCTTTTAAACCAGCAGACCTGGATTGCCCAGGCTAGCAGGGTGGGTCCTGATTAGTATTTGGATGGAAGATGAAGAAGGCAATGACAAGCCGCCGCTAAATGTCTCTTGCCTTGAAAACCCTATGGGGTCAACATGAGGCAGCTGTGACTTGACAGCACTTTCTAGCACCAAACCAATAGGTGTCACTTCATAGTAGTTTATTCAATGAATTATTCAATGAATTAATTACACAGCATGTGATAAATTGAAACTAAGGCATTCACCTAAAGCATCCACTATTCCACATAAAATCTCCAATACAGATCACAGTGCATGTTAAGATATAAAGATTACCCTTTCACAACTTCGATAGGCTTTTAGAAAATATTAACTTGATAGTGAGGTTTTTTGTTCTATTAAGTATGTTTTAACTCTCTAGCCAGGGTACAGATGAGAAGAAATTAGGAGGGGAGGACGGACAAACACAAGAATTAGATAGTGAGGGCGGGGAGAGTAATGAAGGCATACCAGGTTGGATGATGAGTTTAGGAACAACTCAAGACAGGAAAATATTTTCCTCAGCCTTGTAGTTAAAGTTTGCAGCCATGAAAAACTTTATTTAAAAAAATCGCTGCTAAAAAGGGGTGGCAAACAACACCAACTTTGAACAGCATCTGCCCATTACTCTGCTTTCCTTATGCCCCTAGTGCGTGCAGTCCATAACTACGCTAAAAGTTTAAAAACCTGAAATATTAGCTTTACTGGGCCTTCAAGCTGACCTGGGGAATTTTGTATCCCCAGTCCACCTGCATAAGCAGCCTGAGCAAGACACTCCTCAGTTTCCTACCATCCATAGACAGAAGGAATACAGAATCTCCTCACATTCCTCTGTACTGCCACAGCTCTTTCTGACCCCAGAAACATTCTTTGGCTTGCAGACTCTTGGCAGAGGAACAGCTGCAAGAGTAAATGGACTCTAGTGAGGCAAAAGAAGGGGATGAAATTGCCCCCTCCCTTCAGGAAAGGTGCTTATGCAAGAGAATGGAGCAATATCAGCTTCTTGTTCACCTCCACACACAATCCACACAGGTCCCACAATTTGGGACTGATCTGAAAGGTCAGAAAAAGCTGCAACAATGAAGATGAGTAGTAGGATACTGTTCACTCTGTATGAATAGCTCAGGTTAATCCAAATAGTATTAAGGAAGAACAAGGTGTTATGCCAACTGCTTTATTTTCAGCAGAGGCCAACTAAATTTTAACGTGAGTCCTGGCCAGCTATAACAGGGTCGTGTCTGAACCCAGAGTCCCAATAATGTAGACCACACGGGTGTTTTTCCAAAACAAATAATCTTTTTACTAGGCAATATCAAAGTCACACATATAAAATAATCAGTCTCTCAATAGCATACACGCAAGGTTCCTTTAGAGTTACAGAAAGATATTTCGATAGTTTCTTATTTACTTGGAGGTAGGAAGGTGTCTATTTCAGTTTATACTCGCCTGTTCCAGAAATCTTGTCTGTTGCAATGGGAATGGGGTAGAAAGTAATACCTAGGGGTTTAAGCTAAATCACACCTGCTAGAACCAGCTAAGCAAGCATGGATCTCTTTGGCTGCAGTCCAAGAGATCTTAAAGTAGACAAAGGGATTGTCGGATAGAAAGCTGGACCGTAGGGGTAGCAAAGAAGATAGAGGTCGTAGAGAAGGGAGGTGGCTAGCAAAGATCTAGGGTTTGGGTCTTTACTTTTATAGTTGAATCTCCAGGTGGGTGGCACCTTGCCAATCTGTAATCCCACCTATTTACAAGTCCATCCCATGACTTTTCCATATTGATGCGTGTGGAAAGGGGCAGGTATTCTATGGGTTGGGCCAATATTTGAAATACTACACTCTATCTCATGGAATACCATATGGCCAGGTGTGAAATGTCGGCTTCCTGTATCCTCTTTGAAGTACAGATGAATCTTGGCTTTCCCAGGCATAAACAGGAAACTTGCAATACAGATGCAGATCAGGTCCGTGTCCTGCGTGACATCTCATCTTTTCAGTAATGGGGGAATTCCTCCTTCTTGGTTGTTGTTCTGCTCACAATGGCTAACAAGTGCTTCTTCTACCCATAATGCCTTGAGCTGAATGTGTGCAAGCTACATTAACATAAAATGCAGGCAAGTGTTCCCTATGTGAAGTCTCTCACAGTAGGTGATGCAAACAGCTTTCTTTGGCTCATGGTATACAGATGTGTGCACAGTCCGTGTGTTGCGTGTGTAGCAGATATAAAACCATAAATTAGTCCATTTCTCAACAAAGGCTAGAACCAGATTAGAGGAAGAGTTGTGCTACCACACCTGGCCATCCTTCTTGGCTCAGTAATGACAATTTTAAGCTTGACTTCCCTGGCATCTGGCCCCACTGCTGATGGAGGCTGATACTGTCATTCTGCTGATCCCAGGGGAAACACTTCATTGCCCTGTATGTTGCTAAATTGCTTTTTAATCTTACAGATGTAAATGCTGTAAGGAAATCCGTCTCAGACAGTACCATGAGTACTCTGACCATTCAATCTGTGTTCAAGGCAACTCAGTTCAAGGCCCTGAGTAAGTTTATTCCAGAGGCTTTTAAAAATTGAATACACACATCAATTTAATTTACAATATTTTAACATGGGATTATTTTCAATGTAGTAGAGTAATAGATACCTAGAAACAACCTAGACTAATGCAAAGTAACACAACTGGGGCGAAACAAGTAGTAGCAGCGTTCCAAATATATAAAGCGGAATAATGCTGGCTCCTAAATAACTCACACAGACTCCCTCTAGTTCCCAATTAATTAAATTTCATCTGCATGCCTTTGGAAGTTGAAACCGATTAGTGAGCAATCCTCAGTATTCAACAACTTCTTAATTTTGCATAGCATGGGACATACATAGACCCCTACAACTTACTGTTCTACTTAAAGAAGAAAGTGTGGTTGGAAGCTTGGACAGCGGAAGCATTAGCCTTAAGAGGACTAAATCCAGATCTCCATTTGACGCAGACAGTGCAGATGGAGAATTAATATTCCTCAAGCCCTTAAGAAAGCTCTGAAAAAAGAACTGTGAAAAGATGGCTTGTCACTGATTAGGCGATAAGCTGCTCATGTGGCTAAGTGGATTTTAATGGATGAAATAGACAGGTCACCACCTTTTACATGTAACAGAGCAGCAAGGATCCTGTGAACAAGGACAAGCCAGCCAAGCATTCCAATGCATGTCCTTTCTACCTCTTCACCTTGTCTGATCCTTAGAAGGAACTCCCCCCCCCCACAACTTATTATTTTAGGTTATTAGTGGTTTATTTATGTATTTTCCAAATATTATATTCCTGTATAGGGAACAAAAATGTTTTAAGTTTGGGGTTTTACTTCTTTTACTGTGTACTAGTCAATGACTGTAATAAATTTACTTACTTACTCACCCCCCACACACCTCCACTTCTAGGTCTTTTACAATTCTGCTCCCATTTAGAGTATTTTCTATTATTTGGAACTGATGCCCTTTTGATCTTTTAGTCCCTTCAAGTTTAGGCAAAGCCGTGCCTAAACCTACTCAGTCAGTTGACTCTCCTTTATACCAACTTTACTTATCAATCCATTCCCAGCCCATTGTTGCCAATACACCTGCTGCCAGCAAGGACTTAAAGACCGAATTAATGAGAGTTGAATCATTTAAGTAGATCCTACTGGCTCCATGAGAAGACTTATGTTCCACAAAGCAGCAACGAAGAATGTGACAAGTCTTGCTTTTATCAAGCCATTCTTGAAATGGGAGAATAAGCTTATTACATAGTAATGTGAGCAAACATCTTATTTATTGATACATGAACTCCCTTTTCTGTACCTTGGCCCAGTGCAGTAGGTAGGTAATATAGCCTTCACAGGGACAGTTCTGTTTTCATGTAATATATTCGTTCATTGGTAAGACTGTGCATTTGGCACAGCGAGTTGATAGTTTGGCATTTAAGAATTCCACCACTGTTTTATATTGGTTTCCAGTGATCTTTCGGTTTGTGATATTCTCAATACTCGCATTCTATTATAATTCCCAGGGTAAAAGGCCAAAAAGTTCTAATTCTAAACCACCTGAAGCACATAAATTGATCTAAAGCACAGCACTATGAATGCCCACCACTACAGGGTCATGCTACAAATCAACACATAGTTCCACAAGCCCATTGTCGTGTTTTGTTATGTAAAAATTTTGTGTTTTATTTCTGTGATTTAATGTGGGGTTTTATATGTCTGTTGCTGTTGGTTAAAATGTAGGCCTCTAGAGTGACAAAGAGAGGGGGGCTGGGTGGGTGATTGAAGTGTTAAGAGGGCAAAGTACACTAGAGGGCAAAGTTGACTTGTTTGTAGAGAGAGTGGCAGGGGGAGTTGAGTGGGTGAATAATGAGGTGCTGTGAAAGAAATCTGTGTTAATTCTGGAAGTTATTCACCTAAGAGGCAAGGGAAATTTAATGAACGTTAGCGAAGAACTGTACCTATCTGAAACCATTACACTGTTAGACTACTAAATAAACTATGTTTAAGATAAAACTGCTTTATTTAGAGTAAAGGATCACCTTTTATCTCAGAGCCACTACCATGTGCTGACCATTCTGTCATTCTATCAAATATGGTTAAGCCGTCCTGTTCTTTGGGTCCAACTAAGAATTCTAAGTCAAGAGCCTTTGGGTGGCAGTGAAATTAAGGAGGAAACACTAAGGAAGGCAAGAAGGCAGCATAATACACATCACCCAGAACACTACAGAGAGGCACCTTTACAGGTGCAACATATACAGTCTCAGAAAAGAGCAAAACCTGACACCCATCAACTCCCAATAAGACAAATTCTGCTTACAGCTGCTTGCTAGGAGGACATGAAGCAGCTACCGTATGAAAGGGATCATGAAAATAGGCACTCAGGTTAGTAAATATCCTGGATTCCAGAAATCAAAGCAAGGCCTCTTCATAAATGCATAAGAATGTATGAAGAATCACTAAAGTATTTTCAGTTGGCTCTTATTTCACACAGCTATCCAGAAACCCACGATGACAAATATTTGCTTGAGTGATCTGCATATTTGTGAAGATCATAAATTACAATTACGTTTACCATCCTGACTAAAAGCCATTACCACATCTTCCCTTTTTAAATCTGATTCTGATGTGAGCCTTGTAACACTTCAAGGCTTGCATTCCCTTCCATCAATTAAGTTGGCAGTAGATACAATGTCATAATTACTTTAATTAGTAGTAATACTTTGTTCTTACCAGAAGCTGAAGTTGCAAAATGTTTATTTTCAGATATTTTTAAAAAATCCAACAATTAATGTCTGTTCCAAAAAGACAGCTTGTTCATGCCAGAAAATGGAGGCTATGAGTCTAGTTTTAAGTCTTCCAGGGAATAATTCTGCTTCCTGTAGTCAGTTTTGTAAAGCCCAAGGAACAGCTAACACAGAGCATTTACCTATCACTATGGACACAGAAATTAGTATCTATATCACGTGTTTATTTCAAGCAAATTTTCCATGCTGGTAACAGAAGGCCAAGAAAAGTCTCAGAAGTCCTGTTGAATATTTTCTTTGTTTGCTTCTCCATGTTGTTGCTTAATTTGAGAGATTTCATTTTCCAGCTGTACAATGGTTCGTTCAATCTCATAATTTTTACTGACCAGAGACACCCACCTGAAAGCAAAATAATTGTTTAAAGAATTACTTAAGATACCTTAGAGCTAAAATATCAAGGAAACACAAATGAAAAGGAGGATCTAAATGGAGCTCAGTAAGGCTAGGTCTCTATGGATACACAAACACACTTACACACACTCAAACACAAAGGTGCACCACTGGCCCAGAAAAAGCCAGAACTGAAATCGTATAATAAAGCTCAGACAATTAGGTGGGGGAAACTGGTACAGGCAGCAAATTACAGCAAAAAGTATAGCTTCAGGAGTAATACATAACACTTGGAACAAAAAGTTATAAATAAGAAACTGTCAAGGATGAGACCAGTTATTGCCCAAATGGCTCTTAAACACATGACAATTTAATCTTTTATGATGCTAACATGGTACTGCTTTAATTTGTCTTGAAAGGCTTGTCCCTAAAGGCTTAACTATTTGAAATGCCTCTTGTCTCTAAAGCTACCTCAAGGCAAAAAAAAGCAAAAGCAAAAAGCTATATGGACTGTGATTAAAGTTGTACAGAAGGTAATGTGTTCCTGTGACTGTGTGTCTTAGCTTCTTTCCAAAATGAGCCTTCTTTGTACCTCTTTGCTTCGCCCTGCACTTTTCCCCATCTATGTACATTTTCATCTGTTTCAATTTGCCTGCCCTCAACCCATGTGTGTGTGCACACACCCTGTTTCTCAGCATGTTATTTCTTTAAGATAACTGAGGGTTACAACTGAAGCTTGAGACAAGACATAGATTGAGACTAGACTACTGTAAAGTACTGTACATTAGTCTCCCCTCAAAATCAATTGAAATACTCCAGTAGGTGCAGAATGCCACAGTTCAGCTATTATTGCAAGCCAGACAGAACATGCATATTAATCCTATTAATCTACTGACTGCCCATTTGTTACCAGGCTCAATTTAAGGTACTGGCTATCACATATAAAGCCCTTCATGCCCTTGGTCCCTCCTATCGGAAGGACTGCCTCCCCCATGTGCTCCAACACATAGCTTCGTTCATCTGATCAGGACCTTCTGCTAGTGACAACCTACAAATAGGCAAAATCAAAAACTGCCTGTACAAGTAGTCTCTGCTGGGGCCCCCACCTTATGGAATGGCCTGCGGGAGGAGGTCAAGAAGGTGCCCACAAACGATGCAAACCTGCATTAGTCAAGAGGTAATAGGGTTGTACTGTACAAAATGGTTCACAAACTTACTTGGATTAGGGACTGTGGTCTGTACTGCTGTGTAGAATCCTGTAACTAGGATTCTACCACATAATTTTTATACTGCTTAATGTGTCATGTTAATGTTTATGCTATGTTTCAGCTCTATTTTTTAGATATCTGGTTGGTTTCAGACTTCTACAATCCTAATGCATTGTTTACTGAATGTCCCGCTTTGTTGATTGTATTGACTCACTCTGGGCAATCCTCCTTGAGCCCGTGAGAAAGGTGGACTACAAATAATGTAAATACATAAATAAAATTACTTGAATAGGACGAGTGGAACAGATACATAGCCCATTTTTTTCCTGCTAATAGTTTACACTAGACAATTTGAACACTGATTACATGTGCTACAGACTGAACCCCCAGTACTTTCTAGCTACTACATGTAGTCAGTTTACACTTTCCAAATGGTTCTCAAACGTCAGCAATCCACAGACCTGCTTTAAATCCAGCAATGGCTATTATTGTATAAGGATGCAGAGAGCTATCTCCTTCTCTATTGAAACCCTCTGCCATTAGAAAACTGTGCAAACCAATTCAATTTTATACCTGAAGAAGTTCTGACACCTGTATTAGGACTCTACTTCCTTGAAGACACTCAAGTCAACTAGATTGTCTAGGGCTGAATTACTGCAAGCCAGAAATCAATAAGCATGTTTTCTAGCTAGTGCTCTGAAGTGATCTAAAAGCGAGGTGACTGGAGAACAAGCAGCTGTAGAAGCTCCCACCCCTCAAGTAAAAGCAGGAAGGCAACTTCATCCCTTCTGAGGTGGACAGCCTCTGCCTCCATTCCTAGAAAATGGTCTGTTTTAAGGTTATCTGGATGTGCAATACAGAGACTCCCTCCTATGTCCTTACAAATGTGAAGATGTGAAGTACTCTTGCAGATCCTAGACCCCAAGAAAAACGATGCTGTCCTACACTGAATTAACTCTGCCTGATCAAGTACAGTGTACAAAACACATCAGAGTTTAATTTTTCCCTTTATTCAAGAACTGCAGTCTACATTAGATCACTATGGCTTTTCAATCTGCATCAGCGCCTTCACCAAAGGACGACATGCCATGCAGTATAACTCAGTTGCGTCTGTTCTGCAATAATATTTGCAGAAGTCAAGTGTTCTGGAACTGCACTTTTCAGATTTTATTTCTACAAATGGAAAAGTGTCAATGAATATATAGATCAAGGACAGAGTAGATGCAGGAAAAGAAGTTACTTACGTAGATTCCATCTCCCTAAGTTTAGCACCGGCAGTGAGTTGCATATTCTTCCGCTGCCAGTTCAGGTCCTGAATGTGTTTTCTGAAAGAAAGGGGGGGGCTACTGAATCACTTAGTCTTTTCTCTGCCACTGTTGGGGACCCGGGTCCAGTGAAATGAACAGGATCTTGTACAACCACAAGCTTAAGCCTAAAGTAGAAGCCTGACAGCCATTTTGATCAATCAGCAATTTCTGCATTAGCACAAACCTTTTATCTGAACCCGCAAACTAAGATCTGTGTCTTCTTCAAATGAGGATGGCAAACCACATTTTGGGGGGGGGGATAGGAGGAATAAATAAAGGGCTCAGTCACACAGCATCAGACCATGGTTTGATACAGCCTTTGAACCACCCTCAAATGGCACATCATACACACCACACACAGATTCAGGATGAAACTCATTACATAGACTCAGGGATCTGTTGTGGGCCTTTTTCTTTTTACATTATTTCTACAGTGAGCAATGCTAGATGACTCTGGTCAGGACTGATTCAGCTACAAGTATCTAGTTAGCATCTCTATCTGATCATTTAATTCCGGGCAAGAGCTACACCTCAACGTTTTGGTTTGTTATGGTTATAATACACAAGTAATGCTATTAGAGAATCTTTGCTTTCATTTTATTACAACATAATTACAGGCATCTTTAACATTGACTAACCCAACAGAAGATTATACCATCCATTACTGCTACATAGATAATTAAAGGAGAACAGTTAAATGAGTCCATAAAAATAGCTTACCCGAAGATAAGCAGGTCACAAGCAAAGAGCTCCGTCTAAGACGATGCTCCAAATCCATCCAGCTTCCCATATTTATAGGTTTTAAACTTATCTCCTAACAGCTAGCTGTCCCACTTGATAAAAGTGCACATTCCTGCCTAATCTGATATTCTAATAGTTAAGTGTGGCCCATTCTGTGGATACTTAGATCCATGGATCGGGGCCACAATGACCCAAAACAGATGAACTTTTCTTGGCAGATGTGCAAAGAGGAGAGTGGGAGAGACTGGGAGCACTTACAAATGAGGAAGACACAAGTGGATGGGTGAATTGTTGCTGCTGCTGAGGAGAGTTGTTGCTGCTGTGACAGCAAAACTGCAAGACAGCCAGGAGAGTTGCCGCCAATGGCAGCAGTCCAATAGCAAAGTTGTGGGGCAGGTGGCTGAGTTATCACTGCAGCTGCCAGGCCAGGCCCACCACAACTCCCTGCCTCATTGCCAGGCCCCAGGGGGGAACTGCAGTGGCAGCAGAGCAGGAAGCCAGCTCCCTACTCCCCGACATCACTGCCTCTGTACCCCCCCTTACCTTAACCCCAAGCCTGGCATGGCTCCCTGCCCCCCATGGCTGCCACCCCATGAACCCCACATATTTCTTGCAGGTTCCCAATTTTTATTTTATAACTTCAAACACTATACAAAGTTATATATAACTGAATATCTTCTTAAAATACATGAAAACCATTAGTTCATTCTTGCTACCTTTAATCATTAAAAAGTCTATTTAAAAACTGTGGTTACAAGTTCCTCATATGTACAAGTATCTGTTGGCCCTCAACCAATACACCCCAACTTTGAACAGTTCCTGGCCATGTCTATGACAGGCTGTTCATGTGAGGAGAGAGTTTGGCTTTCCAGCCCCTGCAGTGCCAGCAACCAATGATAAAACAACTTAGTAATGCCCATGATCCAGTGTTGCAATACAAGCTGGGTCTTCACAACAGAAGATGTGGGAAAGGATGAAACTGAATGATTGTCTGCAAGCCTCTAGTTTCACAAAATACCCATAGTTAACACAGACACAGGTTTTCTTCCCAGCAACAACCAACAGCAGCTTATAACATAATTCTTCCCTCCTTCACTTTAACCTCAAGGGTTCCGGCTGAGCTGAGAACAGTGCTCCACTTCCTAGAATGTTTTATCTTATTTTAGTTTTATTATCTTGGTTTTGTCAGGTGCTTTGCTGGCTGGTAGCCACATTGTTAAGAAGGGAATTAGTAACTGACACTTGCTGTTTTGACTCCCTAAATTCTTCTTAAAGTAGGCTTGAGCAAGGCTGATGCCAATACAAATGCCGAAATCTCTTGCCTGGAGAGCTGGCTATAAAGCTGGGGGGGGGGGATGCTGCCTCATATGGAAAACACTTTTTCTTTGAATACCTCCCCTCTAAATTAAGAGTTTAACTTTTAATTTATTTCCTCTTTTCAAGCTCTTGTTATAGCTTTAAAGTTTTAATTTATGCTTTTATCTCTGAGTCACCACCCCCACAAATAGTTAAAAAGCTGATTAATGACTTGCTAGGGTGCTGTCTCAAGCAGGCTTAGAAACTCTTGAAAGCTGTGTGGGTCAGTGATGTTAGTTTAGAACTGATACCTCACCCTCAGGCCACTACTGTAATATTTTATAACAATTTTATAATTTTACAATAATTTTAATATATAAGACCAACTTCGTCAAATTTGGGTTCCTTAAGATTTTTGTCCTTTCCTTTTTTCTTTTTTTCAAACTAGTGCCACCATTATTGCTTTTTTATTTTATATTAACCTTTATCTCATATTTAACTCCAGTTTATATCCATATTTAACTCCAGTTAAATATTACACTCTCCTTTTAAGGCTGAGATGGGGACCAAACATAGATATCCCTTTGAAGAAGTAATACAATGCATAACTAACCAGAGCTGGCTAGAAGATTTCTTTGGGATGAAACAAAAAATTGTATCAATGTTTTGGATGCCTCTGACAGTGATCAAGAGTTCGAGGAGAGCACAGGACCTATGGAAGCAGCTAAGGGAAGAAGTGAGCTACCATTACAGTCCTCTCTCTTAGGTGATAAAGATGTTAAAACAAAGGAGAATAACTTTAGTATACTGGCAACCCAAACAAATCTTATTGCAAAATCCCTTGATAGAATTTACAAAAAATTAGATATACTAACTTCTAACATCCTTCACAATAAGCAGCAAGGAAGGGAAATAGCCAGCAGTCCTTCAGATTAGTATCCACTACTGGGAACCAAGATGAGCCAACAAAATTTGATTTTAAACCAACTGAAATTATTCTTGAAATCTTCCCTTATCAATCTTCCCTTATATAAACTGGGAAGTGGAAAGCTAAAAGACACCTCAGCTATTTATTAGGAATACCAATAAGGGAAATAGATATAAGGAAATTAGAATGCTTAAGCGGCCCAATATATATATCACCCATTAGTTTTGCTAATTTTCCACACTCTAGACACATTCCAGTATTATTATGGTCCAAAAGATTTGAAATGAAGCCTTTTTAGCTGTGTATTAAAATACATTTTTGCAATTCCAAAGTGGGTTCCCTTTTGGAGGACAGGGAAATAAGACCAAGGTGGGAGGCAAAGCAACCGGAGAGGAGTCAGGCTCCGGCTCACCATTCAAGAGAAGACAATGGTAAAGAGAGGAAAACTCCCTGGAGCCAGTTTAAATTTACTGGAGATGGGAGATATAGCCACTATACCGCAACTGATTGATTTTACTTCACCTTTGAAACCCAAATAATACAATACCTAAGACTAAGTAACTTAGAACATCAGATAACTATTGCTGCTACATGAGACCATCATGGCTTGGCATCAGCCCACTTATTTCCCCCGGCTTTAGTGACTGGAATTAATTGCATTGCACTACCCACTTTAAATATTTTAATTACTTTAAATTTTAAACTGATTTTATTGTATTATTTATTGTATTAATTTAGATTGTATTTATTGTTGTAAGCCGCCCTGAGCCAGTTCGTGGGAAGGGTGGAATATAAATTGAAATAATAAATAAATAAAAACATTTAATAGAAACCCCTCCCCCCAAGAATGACCTTTTTCTAATGGATACTGGCTTAATAACTTCCTTTGGTTTGATAGCAGCAGAAATCCAAGGTAGTGTGTTTTCAAGACTACAAAATCTTCTGTGAATACTAAGAGAAACCCCTAAGAAAATACTAAGACTCACTCTAAACTGATTGAGGAGGGGTTAGAAAGTGAGAATAGTACAGAATTTGACCCACGAATCGACCAAGATGTTACCTTCATTCATCCAACCAGTGATACTAACAGAGGAAGAGGCACACCTGAATTGTAAAAACCTCTGGCCAAAAGTAATTGTAAAGTCTAATTTTATTAAGGGACAGGAGGTTACAAACATTAATTGACTAGAGGAAAACTTAACTTTAAAAATCTTCTTATGGAACACTTCAGGATGGGCCTCAAAAACACAGATCCCTGAAATTTATACCCAGATTAAGAAATTTCATATCCTGCTTATCAAGGAAATATGGGTTTCAGAAGAAATCTTTATAGAAGGATATACTACCTCCTCAGTTACTGCTGAAAGATATAGTAAAAAGGGATGCCTCTGTGGAGGATTAGCATGCTTAACTGCAAACTCCCTGAATATAATGGAAGTGAGGACCAGGGCTATTTTTGGGCAGGAACGCACAGGAACGGAGTTCTGGCTGGCTCCTGAATTGGCCACGCCCAGCAGGAACTCATTAGCATAATAGGCCACACCTAACAGCAGACACTCATTAGGATTGGCTACATTAGGGGTGTGTGGCCTAACATGCAAAGAAGTTCCTGCTACAAAAAAAGCCCAGGGTTTTGACAACAAAGTAAACAGAATAAGAAGCAAAAGGTGGGTGTGGTTGGATGACCACACTTCTGGTAACATGTGGTGTGTGGCCTAATATGCTAATGAGCTGTGCTCTCAGGGGTGTGGCCTAATATGCTAATAGATTTCTGCTGTTGGGTGTGGCCTATTATGCTAATGAGTTCCTGCTGGGCTTTTTCTACAAAAAAAGCCCTGGTGAGGACAGTGGCTTTTACCTCTTAGCGCTTACAGGTTTTTTGACCCTTCCAACAACCCTATTTCAAGAAGCCAGATTTTTTTAAAAAAATTCAAGACTATTTTAAGAGCTGGTTTCCTTGCATGATGTAAATGTACTGAATGCTTCTTCCTAACTAGCAACAGAAGCAGGTGGAGCAGACATTAATATTAGACAGTCCCCAATAATTCACCAGCCTGTGCTAGAGCATAACATAAAGCAAAAAAGGACTTTTTTGACCCTATGGTAGATCTTGGCTTTCAGTAAAATGTGAAAAATCTATTAGCTCTAAAAGGCCTCTGAAGCACTTTATCTGAATTAGGATTGGGATTTTAAGATGTATGTTTTTAAATTATATTGTGTTTTATTGTAGCAAGGTTACCTTGCCTTTGTAAGCCGCCCTGAGCCCTACGGGGGAGGGCGGGGTATAAATTTGATAAATAAATAAATAAATGAAGTGACAAGTGTACTGTTTTTACATCCTGATAATGGCAACTACAGTTTTGGGGTACTTTGTTAGTTTCTGAAAGCAGAGGTGTGGGATATTAATAACTATGTGTGGGTGCTTGAAAGTCTTGCTGTTTGCATCACAAGATTCTTTACTAGCAACCTGCGAATACTGCATCCTCATACATTTAAGCCCTATTTTTAGATTTTTTTTCAATTCAAAGGTAATAGAAAAAGCAGAACTTACCTCAAACTCTGCAGCTCCTTTTGTGCCTGTTCAATCATGTGAACTAGATGTCTAAAAGCAAAGGAGCTCTGTTAGTTCAAGAAATTATTCAAATACAGTGAGAAAGGAAAGCATGTGGCTGCATTTTAATTTTCTTTTTTTATTTAGGAAGATAGTGGGAATACAGGCAAGAAAAGGAAAAGGGGGTTATGCAACAGAACTGCTTTGTCGAGTAGTACAAAATGTATAAGACAGAAAATATTTTCCCTTACACCCCTTATTATAATTTTTAAGGTATTATCTATAAAACACAATAGTTCTTACTTCTGTTGGGGTGCAATTATATTCAACATTTTAAATTTCAAACTTTATAACTAATCTGTTATACATAGTTATAATCTGTACATAATTAGTTTCATCATTACTACGTAGTCAATATTAGATATTTTCACCACTTCTACATATTCATTAGTACCTTTAACAGATAAATAATATATCAAGGTGCAAAGGAAGGTCTATTATATATCTCATATAAAGAACCCATTTGTATTTGAGATACTAAATTTAAAACAGATTTTGATTCTACTTCTATTTCATTACCATACATTTGTATGTATTTTAGACTGCTTCTCATTCTAAGTTTGTCTCCTGCTAGCATAGTACACATAATATACATCTCACCTAATAAGCATCATCTTGGCTTCCACTGTAAATTTAAACGTTAATATGTTCTTCCTTTTTTGGTGTATTTCTTTATTTTTTATTTTATTTTTTACAAGTCCACCACATATGAAAGATGGTTCCATCTATGTCTTGACATTTCCTGAATTTTCCTTTGTTGTTTTTATCTGCTTTCTCAATGTCCAACCTGAAAATCATTTTGTACCAATTTTATCTTAATGTGTGGCTGACTCTAAATTTGGTATCTTTTTCCCATAGTGGTTCCCATTGTTGCATAGATATCTGTTCGTTGACGTTTTGCATCTAGGCAAGGCAGAGAGACTCTCCAAGGTCACTCTCATGGGAAAGGACACTTGGGGCACAGCTTCAGGAAAGTTATGACGTTTTGCATCCACTTAATAATACATTTTTTCACTTGTTCATCTTCTGTTTCTAGTTGGAGTAAAATCTTATATATCCATCATAGTAAATGCTTTTTGTTTTGTAACCAGCTGTTAAAATTCAGTCGCATCTCTTAGAACTCCACCTTCAATGCTCATGATCCCCTTTACTCGAGATATTGATAATATAGCAGCCATTGAATGTTTACACCTTCGTCTTTGATATCTTGATATTCCCCTGAGTTTTTATCATCATGCCATATGTTAAAAATAATTTTTATTTCTTGTGTTCTTATCATGGTAAGCTTCTACTGAGGACATAAGCAGAGAGTTTGAGGGGCTCAATAAATTTCAACATGTAAACCATATTCTCAAAAGTCCATCTCTGGTTAGGCGACTTCTTTCTTGCGTTATGATCTTTTTAGCCAATTTCTTAATCCATAAATAATTGTGTAAACCTTCATTAAGGTCTTCTGATTCTAATTTTACTATTCTTTTTCTTGGATTTTTAATCTAGTCCATAATCCAGACCAGATCTGCTGTTTGGTAATATAATTTTATATTTGGGACTGCTAACCCTCCTCTCTTTTTCTCGTCTTGTAGTATTTTGAAGCTTATTCCTGTTTTTTCCCAAGATCCGATGCCCCCTGGTGACTCGTTAGATGCGCTGATGGATGACTGGCATAGCCGTTTTTCTGATGCCATCGACAAAATTGCTCCCCCATGCCCACTTCAATTAGTGCTTTGGTACTCCTTGGTGCTGCTTCTTTTTTTTTTTTTTATAAATTTATTTTCTTTCAAGGACACTTCTCCTTGGGAAAGAGGGAGAGGAGGCACATCTTGCAAGGATAACTTATGACCTTTGTTTTTTGTAAATTTACTTTCACTTTTTAACATCACACAAAAAAAACACTTGTTGAAAATTTGTACATTTCACAAAGTAACATAAAATTCATTTTTCTGATAATACATCGAATATTTCTTATTAGCAGTTTTCATTTTTTAATCTAATCTTTTCTATCTTCAGCCAGTTGTATACTATTCCCCATCTGTCCCAAAAAGTCTCTTCTGCTTTATTTTGTAAATTCATGTTGTTTGTCCATTTCTGCTACCTCTAGAATCTTGTATTTTAATTCTTTTATAGAAGGTACATTCTCTGATTTCCACCTCTTTGCTATGAGTATTCTAGCTGCTGTTAGCATGTAAACTATTATATGTATGTGTTCTTTTATTGTATCCAGTATCATATTAAGTAAGCAGATTTTGGTGTTAATATTCATTTTCAGAATGTCTCGAAATATTTTATGAATTTTTTGCCAAAAAGTCCGAATTTTGCCGCAATTCCACCATATGTGGTGGTATGAACCTATATTCCTTCTACACCTCCAACATATATTTGATGCCTTTGGAAAACATGTTGCAATTTTTACCGGTGTCCAATGCCACCTATAAAACATTTTATATATATTTTCCTTGTATGGAGTCACTCTCATATATTTTAATGTTTTCCATGTTTTTAACCATTGATCTATTTCAATTGTATGTTCAATCTCTTTTTCCCAAGCTATCATAGATGTTTTTATCGTCTCTTCTTGTAAAAAATCCTCCATCAGCTTTTTATAGAATTTCTGAATTAATTTATCGCTTGATGATAGCCAAATCTTATCAATCTCGTTTAAACTGGTATAAAATCCTGTTTTTTTATCTTCGTTATATCTTGCTAGTACATTTTTTTCCCACCAAGTTAAGTTTATATTATGTTGTAGTAATATCTCTTCAGATTTCAACTCCCTTTTTTCATTTACTAATTTATCATAACTTTGTTTAGTTTTCCCCATTATTAATGATGGCTTAGCAAATGCCCCTAGCAGCGATATCCACATAGGTATTTTGGTGTAATGTTTATCTTTTACTATATTCCAAACCTTAATGAGAGAGCTTCTAATTATATGTATATGGAAATTTGAATGAATTTTATCTTTCCCATACAATAAATAAGCGTGCCAACCCATTACTAAATCTGATCCCTCTAAAGCTAATGTTCTTATATCTTCTAATATTACCCATTCCTTAATCCACGTCATGGCAGCTGCAAAGTAATATGATTGCCAATTCGGCAGGGCGAAGCCTCCCTTCTTTTTATTTCCCTGAAGATCTTTAATTTTTATCCTTGGTTGTTTGGATTGCCATATGAATTTCCCTATAATTCTCTCCAGATCTTTAGAATATTGATATTTTTAACTATTGGTAAGTTTCGGGCAAGAAAAAGGAATCTTGGCAGTATATTCATTTTGACCCTTACTGTTTATATTCACTATAGAGTCGCTGGCTGAAAGAATAAGAAGTAATGAAAGTAATAAATGAAAGTAATAAAAGGATTGAGAGCAAAAGGAGAAGTATTCAAACTGCAAGCTTTTGCAGATGATTTGATATTTATAGTAGAAGAACCAGAACACTCACTAAGCCACCTAATAAATGATATTCAGGAATTTGGCAATCTAGCGGGTTTTAGAATTAACTTCCAAAACCCAAAAATCATAGTTAAAAATTGCCCACAAAAAGTAATACAGAGAATAAAAGAAATTTCAAAATTGGAAATAGTACAGAAGGCGAAAAATTTAGGAATATGGGTGACTAACAAAACAGCGACTTTATATGAAGATAACTACTTACAACTGTTAAAAGATATAAAAGGAGATTTAAATCGGGATAAAATACACCTTTCATTAGTGGGCAGAATAGCGATAGGTACTCCTTGGTGCTTCAGAGGAGGAAACAGGAACTTAGACATCTTGGTGATGGACTCGTGATGAAGCTACAAGAACATCTTATTGAATGTTTATGAGATCGTATGAAATGGTGGTAAAAGACGCAAAGAAGGAATTTTAGGTGGCTTCCATTACATCTGCTAGCTCTTGCCTGGCACAATTATTTAAAGTAATCAGATCCTTAATTTCCCTTTCAGAGGGGGCCCAAAATGTTAGAAATTTGACAATCAGCTGTGAGGTTTTTGCAAGCTTTTTTGCGAATAACATCTTGTCACTCCAGGACCTGCCTGCCAACACTGATAGTATGAGAACTGGAGGCCCCTTGGCTGTCTTTGGGTCCCACCCAGTTGAATCTTTGATGGCCGGCCGGCTGAATACCGCCTCAGATATTTTGGCCAAGAGTTGGGAGGCTGTGGTTGGTTGGTTGAAACAGAGCCTGCTGAAATTAAATCCATCTAAGACGGTGGTTCTGTGGCTGGGTCAGGGAAATTTGGGGTTAGAGTCAGTGTTCCCTCTAAGCTGAGTTAGTGTGAGCTAACTCACAGTTTTTTAGCCTCCAGCTTACACATTTTTATCTTAGCTCAGGAAGGCTAACTACTTTATATAGTAGGCAAATCGCTCACTCACAACTTTAATGCAAGTACCTCACAAAGTAACATTTTTGCTCTACTCCACAGCTTAGAAGGAGCATTGGTTAGGGTGCCAACTCCCAGCTCTTGGTGATTTGCTTTTAACTCCAGTGCCGACCCATCAGAAGCCTCGGTGCGATTCTGGATGCCTCCCTTTTTATGTTGCCAAATGTCGCCAGACTGGCATTTTTCCTTCTGTGCCAGGTCAGGCAATTGGATCCCTTCCTGTCTCTCCCTGACTTAGCCACAGTGATCCATGCAATGGTCACCTCCAGACTAAACTACTGTAACTCGCTCTACACAGGGCTACTCTTGAGGTTGACCCAGAAACTGCAACTGGACCAGAATGTGGCAGTGTGTGCTCTCAAGGTAACTTCGTTCAGAGCCCATGTTCAACTGGTGCTCCGCCAGCTGCACTGGCTTCAGGATGAATAACAGATCAGGTTCAAGGGTTGGTATTAACCTTTAAAGCTCTAAATGGTCTGGGACCAGCATACCTGTGGGATCACCTCTCCTGGTATAGCCCCCAAAGAACTTTACACTCAACGGATAACAACCTACTGGTGATCCCCCATCCGAAAAGCATCTGGTTCGACCAGAACCAGGGCTTTTTCGCCCCTGGCTCCAACCAACAGCCTGCCATGTGAGATCTGGGCCCTGTGGGATTTGGTGCAGTTCCACAGGGCCTGCAAGACAGAGATGTTTCATCAGGCCAATGGCTGAGGCAGCAACAGCCTCCATCCTAGATTGGCCCCTCTTCTTTCCTTCCTGCCCGCTCCCCGGCCCCAGTTTTTGGGTTGTAAGTTTCTCATCTGACTGTGAGATGTTTTACCCTCCCCCCTGGATAGGGGCACTAAGTTGTGTTTTTTTATGTGCCATCTGATCAGTTATTACTATCATTGTAAAAATATTACTTATAATGTTTTATGAATGTTGTTACCTGCTCTGAGCCCTGTTGTAAATAAATAAATAGTGAAATAATTTATTAGGATTATAACCATTCCCTTTCCAGCATAAAACCCACCAAGGATGCTGGGAAGCAAGTTCTGTACTTTTTTTGAAAAACAGCTTAGTGCACAAAATGTTTTTTTTAAATCTTGAGAATATGAGGGGTCAACAGAAGAAGTGGCAACTACAAGTCTTAAGAGCAGGTGTGTTTCACATTACACGACAGGATAATGTAGACAAGGTAAAGAGCAACACCTTGTATGACAAAGCACAGAATGGATTGATCATTTGTCTAATTTATCTGTAGCACATATTGTACTACTACAAAGGAAATGTAAAGATCTGAAGAACTGGTAATTTAAAATACAAATCCTTCCAACTAAAATTTTAAATGCTCAAGGCAGAGAGAAACTACTTACTCATTATACACTTTCCAGGCATTGCAGCCATACTGAGACATCAATTCCAAGTTCTCAATTCGAACTGCCTGATGCTCCAGCTGAGCCATTGAGTTATTAACACATTCCTGCCATGCTGTGATATCATTCTTCTGCCCAGAGGAGGGAGCAGGCAGTTCATACCTGTTAAAGTATCAGAAAACACAGCCCTTAAAGCAATAGAACAGGTAGTGTTCATCTAGTTTTTAGTGAAAGATTAAAATATATAAGGTTTTGGCAAATAATTTTATACAGTCTAAACCTTTTAAACACAGCTAACAGCGAAAGACACCTGTAGCATCAACTGCAAGAGCATCAGCCAACACCTACTTCCTCATAATCATTTAGCATGATGAATCTCTGCATTTTTTTAACATTAAAAAATTATTTTAAGTATTGAACAATACACATCATATTGTATAACATTATTCAGCATTTTTAATTGCTGAATTAATATTACATAGGTAGACCAAGATATTTCTTGAAAACACCAAAAACCACTAATAGTTGTTCCAGCAGGGTACACTAACATCATGTCTGCTGGAAAACATGCAAGATCTGGACCACCACCACTTAATACTTTTAGAAGCCATATGACTAAGTTCTGATTTTTTCTTAAACTTTTTTCCAACATAAATGATGCATACTTTACCAATAAAGTCCCCTAGAGTTACCTTTTCATGCTCAGCAGCTCCAAGGGCTGTCGGGCTGCTAGGCGTTCAAACTCATTTCGCATTATTTCAGTCTACAAACAAAAACCAAGCAAAATTACTCATTACTTTTGGTCTTGTTGAGTACTGAATTTGTATGGTGCGTTTAAATTTTAATTAGTTTACAAAAAAACCTACCACTTAAAAGCTAGTGTCACTTGCTACATGAAAATAAGACAACAACCCTAACAGCTCATCCCTGCCAGATCTGCAAGTAAGAGTCTCGAGGACTCACTAAAAAAACAAAAAACAAAGGGGGCAAAACATTTTATAAGTTTTCTAAAAGAAGCAAAGGATGCGCCACATAGGCATTCTGATGAAGCATGTTTGACAGCACTAGGGGAACTACTGAAATCCCCAGTGGATGCCAACTTCACATCATTCAATTCAATACCCTGAATAAAACTTCTGGCAGCTCTTCAAGCACAGGGGATTGATAAGACATTCATATTAAAAAGATACTTGCCATCCTGCAAGCAGGCAAAATCAGTAACTGCTTGTACTTGTGCATTTTCTGTTGCAAACCCCAACTTATGGAACGGCCTGCTTGATCAGGTTAAGAAAGCTCCCACTCTCCTGGCTTTCCGCTAACAGTAAAATGGAATTATTCAAGACGGCCTTTTTTGCACAGGTAAAAAGACCATATGGTAATGAAAAGGTTCAGAATATTGTATTGGTAAACCACTTTTAACTTTTAAAGGGGTAACTTCCTCTGGTATGAGGGGACATGTGAGAAAGAAACTGAAAGGAAAAGTAGAAAGGGTCAAAACCATTGGGGAAACTTGGAGACTATTTAAAACTATAATCCTAGAGGCTCAGAAAAAATATATCCACAGCTTAGGAAAGACACAAATAGGTATAGGAAAAAGCCTGCATGGTTAACTAACAAAGTAATGGAAGCTGTAAAAGGTAAGAAGGATTTCTTTAAGCAGTGGAAAGCTCGTCTCAGTGAGGTTGATAAAACGAAACACAGGCAAATGCAAGTCTGTGATCAGGCAGACAAAAAAGGAATATGAGGAGCATATAGCAAAAAATATAAAGACCAACAATAAAACTTTCTTCAAATACATTAGAAGTAGGAAACCAGTCAGGGAGGCAGTGGGGCCCTTGGATGACCAAGGGGCAAAAGGAGTACTGAAGGATGATAAGGAAATGGCTGAGAAGCTAAATGCATTTTTTGCCTCTGTCTTCACTGTGGAAGATGAGAAATGCTTGCCCACTCCAGAACCGCTGATTTCGGGAGCAGTGTTGAAAGACCTGAGTCAGATTGAGGAGACAACTTAAAATCTGATAAATCACCAGGTCTGGATGGCAGACATCCGAGAGTTCTGAAAGAACTCAGATGTGAACTTGTGGATCTCCTGACAAAAATATGTAATCTTTCATTAAAATCTGCCTCCATTCCTGAGGACTGGAAGGTAGCTAATGTCACTCCCATCTTTAAAAAGGGTTCCAAAGGAGATCTGGGAAATTACAGGCCAGTCAGTCTGACGTCGATACCGGGTAAATTGGTGGAAACCATTATTAAGGAAAGAATTAGTAGGCACATAGATGAACAAAACCTATTGAGGCAGACTCAACATGGGTTCTGTAAGGGAAGATCTTGTCTCACTAACCTATTAGTGTTCTTTGAGGGGGTGAACAAACATGTGGACAAGGGGGATCCAATAGATATTATTTACCTTGACTTCCAGAAAGCTTTTGATAAAGTTCCTCATCAAAGGCTCATAAGTAAGCTCAAAAATCATGGGATAAAAGGACAAGTCCTTTTATGGATCAAAAACTGGCTAGTTCATAGAAAACAGAGAGTGAGTGTAGGTGGGCAATTTTCTCAGTGGAGGGTGGTAAGCAGTGGGGTACCGCAGGGATCAGTACTTGGTCCACTGCTTTTTAACTTGTTCATTAATGATTTGGAGATGGGAGTAAGCAGTGAAGTGGCTAAATTTGCAGATGATACAAAGTTGTTCAGGGTGGTGAAAACCAGTGAGGATTGTGAGGCACTCCAAAGGGATCTGTCAAAGATGGGCGAGTGGGCGTCAACATGGCAAATGGGGTTCAATGTGACCAAGTGCAAGGTGATGCACATTGGAGCCAAAAATCCTAAATATAAATACACATTGATGGGGTCTGAACTGGCAGAGACTGAGCAAGAGAGAGATCTTGGAGTTGTAGTGGATAACTCACTGAAAATGTCGAGACAGTGTGTGACTGCAATAAAGAAGGCCAATGCTATGCTGGGGATTATTAGGAAGGGTATTGAAAACAGATCAGCCAATATAATAATGCCCCTATATAAATCAATGGTGAGACCTCATTTGGAATACTGTGTGCAGTTCTGGGCACCACACCTTAAAAAGGATATTATAGCTTTGGAAACACATGGGATTCACTGCCACAGGAGGTAGTGGCGGCTACAAGCATGGACAGCTTCAAGAGGGAACTGGATAAACATAAGGAGCAGAGGTCCATCAGTGGCTATTAGCCACAAGGTATAGATAGGAACTCACAGGCTGGGGCAGGTGATGCACTGTATTCTTGGTGCTTGGGGGACGGGCAACAGTGGGAAGGCTTCTAGTGTCCTGGCCGCACTGATGGACCTCCTGATGGCACCTGGTATTTCTGGCCACTGTGTGACAGAGTGTTGGACTAGATGGGCCATTGGCCTGATCCAACATTGGCTTCTCTTATGTTCTTATGATAGGGACTATGGCCCTATCTGTAACTGCTGTAATTGCTGCCTGTCACTGTAAGTATGTTCCGAATATGTAGTTTCTACATCACTTAATGTGTCATGCTTAAATCCTTACGCTTTGTTTCAGCTCTTTTGATTTGTTTTCCGATTTTTGTAGTCCAAACCCTACTGCCTTGTTCATTGGATATCCCATTCTATTGATAATATTTGACTTACACTAGATAATTCACCTTGCGCCTCAGTGGAAAAGGAGGGCTATAAATAATGTAAATAAATAAATAAGAAAATAAAAAGACACTCCTTCTTAAAAACTAACCCTTAATAAAATTTTAAAGGATTCTTGAGAATATTGGGAGCAGGGACAACTTTTTATACAAAATTACATTTTGAAATACTTTGTCATTGCTGTGGGAACAAATTGCTTTTGCACTATTTTTCTTTTGAAAGGACTTCATAATTTATTCTCATTTCTTTACAGCCTGCATTCCTTACTGAGACTCAAGGCAGACCAAACAGTGTAAAACAATGTCATAAAATAACATGAGAAATACAATAATAACAACAGTATGATATCCAAACACAATTTACCTATTAAAACAACGGAGCAAAATGAGCATGGGAAGAATGAGTGTGCCCATAATAGTTCTATGTTTCTGTTGCTACAATAGTTGTGGGACTTAGTTCTGGCTTTTTGCAGGTACTTATTCTTAGACCTATTGATGTAATACCGAGGGGGGCGGACGGGCAGAAGTCTGTATAAGTGGCAATAATTAATTCTAGGAAAGTTTCCAGAATAAAGCAACCAAACATTTAGAGAATGTTCCTAGAAGGAAGTTCTACTTATTTTTAAGCAAATGCATATTGGAGTGAGGCAAGCAAGTTACTGATTGTTATCTTCGCTGCTATTTTGCATTCCTATCTCAAAGCAAAATAAAATTAGACACCGCATAATCCTGTGGTTCAAATCTCACCTCAACCATGAACTCAAAAGGCAGTTTTACTCGAGCCATTATTCTCTCAGGCCCACAAATACTTCACAGTCTCACACAACTGCGGTTTCCTGAGGTAATGTATTTGACATACTTTCAGCATTATAAAAAACTACATAATCAATATTTATGAACTGTTTGCTTCTACCTTAGGTAAAGTAAAGGTAAAGGTTTCCCTTGCTCAAAAGCCAGTCGAATCCGACTCTAGGGTTGTGGTGCTGATCTCCGTTTCCAAGCGGAAGAGCCAGCGCTGTCCAAAGATATTTCCGTGGTCATGTGGCTGGCATGACTACACGCCGAGGCGCACGGAACACTGTTACCTTCCCACCAAAGTGGTACTTATTTATCTACTTGCAATTTCTTGCTTTTGAACTGCTAGGTTGGCAGGAGCTGGGACCAGAGACAGGAGCTCACTCCGTCATGCAGCACTCAGGTCCGTGCACCTCGGCGTCTACTCATGCCAGCCACATGACCACGGAAACGTCTTTGGACAGCGCTGGCTCTTTGGCTTGAAAACGGAGATGAGCACTGCAATCCTAGAGTCCGATTCCGCTGGCCTTCGAAACAGGGAAACTGTTACATTTACCTTTTACCTTTATTTCTACAATGTGCCTCAAATTTACAATTAACTTTACAGCAATATAGCTAGTTTCAGGTCTCTGGCTACAGAAAACAGAAAACACAGAGTAGACAGGAATACCTTAAGGAGTTCAAAATCCTAAAATTGGATTATACCATTTAATTTCCAAAACTAAAACATTACTTCAGCAGTGAACCCATTATGGGAGTGAATTACCTCCCCCCCCACACACACACACACGCATATGTATGGGTTGTAATTACTCTGTTAAGAAAGGAACTAATTTTAAACATAGTTAGGGGCACTTCACATATTCTTAGGGTTCAGCCCTGGTACTAAAGAGTTTTATTATATTTCTAAAACACCCTTCCTTCAAAAGAACCCCTCATTTTCTCCTTACATTGAGAAAGTGTAGCCAGCCCAAGACTACACCCTGAACTACAGTGCAGTAGAAAGAGGTCGAAGCAGTGGAACAGAATTCTGTTTATTTACTTAACTTAATCTATAATCCAAAAGGGGACCTGTCATGACCCCAGGGGGTTGCCACTTTCAGCTGCCACCACTCTGGACTTCGGGTCCCTTGAGAAGGTCCAGAGTACCCTCCCAAGCCCATCCAAAATGCCCCCTTTTAAGCCGAGAACATAGGTGTGATGACCAGGCAGAGAACACTTAAACAAATGGTTTATTAACACAGTACTGGGGCAAGGAAAACCAGACAAGATGCTTAAAATATATAACAATGTTTAAAGGCAAAATAATCAAATCTAACGCAACTACCTATTTCACTTAACTAGTTACTATTTCAAGGTCCACAGCCCTCTTATACCAGGCATCCTGCCTATACTCACTCTGTCCCAAGTGAGGGATCTTTTCCTCAGATCAGACTGTCCCCTCAGTTTAGCTCTGTGAGAGACAAGACCGCAGAAGAGAAAGAACAGTTTTTCAGCTCTCAAAGCTTCAGTCCCATTCCCTCACACAATCTCTGTACACTGATTGGCTACAACCATTGCTAAGCATTGTGGGGGTTGTAGGCTATCTGCTCTCCACTCCTACACAGGCCTCTAGGCCTTTCTCCCAGGCCTACACAGATCATGACAGGACCCAAAGCAGCTAACATCATTTTCCTCCTCCGTTCTATCCTCACATCCTCACTGTGAGAAAGATTAGGCTGAAAATGTGCAACTTACCCAAAGTTTCCCAAAGAGCTTCCATGACACTATAGGGATTTGAACCTGGGAATCCCAGATCCTTGTCCAAGACTCTAACCACTACACAACACTGTAATATTTCCAGTAGAAGGAGCCAGTTCCAAATTATCCCCATGATAAAATTTGAATCTAATGGCACCTTTAAGACCAACAAAGTTTCATTCAAGGTATACGCTTTTATGTGCATGAACACTTCTTCAGATACAATAAAATGGGAATTACTCGTCTATACATATAGGCAGAGGATAAGTAGTAAATCAGCATACAGCACAATGGAGATAGTTAACAGATTCAAGGACCAAACAGAAATAACAAGCTTAGTTTATATGGTTACCATTTGTTTGGCTTTAATTCGGGGGGAAAACATAGTGAAGGAACTAAATTGGAGAGTGATGGGCAGATCTATCCTTAATTGTGGAATGCTGGGAGTAATTAACTGAGACCCTGCCATTATGCTCTACCTGTCTACTCTCAAGCATGGAGGCAACCTTACAGCATCTTCTTCTTAGAAGTGGGGCGATTAGCTGTGTAGAGTTATCTCCTCTGTCCCCACACCAGAGAAATGCATTCCAATCTACCATTCCAAATTACATTACATTCTACTATTCTTACATTACATTACAATCAACTATTCTAATCTATTATTCCAAATAAGAAATAAAATAAAATGAGGACGTATAGCCCTTCTGGGGGGATTGGTGAGAATACAGATCTAAGGGCTGAATGAAGTAAGCATGCGTAATGAGATGAGGAACAAATATCCCTGTTAAGTCCTGGGGATTCCATTGCCCTGAGTGTTGCAATAACTTCCAACTCAGAGATTTCCCTTTCTAGTCTGTTCCTGAAGTTCCTTTGCAATAAAACAGCTACTTTGAAGTCACCCATTGAATGTCCTAGACGGCTGAAGTATTCTACAGGTTTCTCCATCTCATAATTCCTGTGTCAGATTTGTGTCCATTTATCCTTTGGTGTAGGGTTGAAACAGAGTCGGCTGAGGCCTTTGGTGTAGGGTTCAACCAGAGCCAGGGTGTTTTCTACCCTGGCTCCAACGCGGTGGAACTCTCCCAAACAACATCCATGCCCTGTGGGACCTGATGCAGTTCCGCAGGGCCTGTAAGTCAGAGATATTCTGCTAGGCATTTGATTCAGGACAGCGACGGTCTCATCTTCCTGGCATTCCCACCCTCCAGTGACACAGTGGCGCCATTAGAATTTTAGCACCATCTTTAGGTTATTTACTGTGTTACTGTGTTGGTTTTAATGATGTATTTATGATGTATATGTATTGTGTTGTACACCACCCTGAGCCCTGATCCTCAAGGGAGCCTGGTTTAAAATCACTTAATAAACCTGTTTGCCCTATGTAGAGAACTGAAGGGCATTGTTGGCATTTAATGGTATATACCATTAGAAGATGAGCATGTGAATGAGCTTGCGAAGGTGTAGTTGATGTTGTTAGGTCCAGTAATTGTGTTGTCTGGGTGTATGTGGCAGCAAAGTTGGCATCTGGGTTTATTGCAAGCTCTGGTCCCAGGGTCCATGTTCAAATTAGATGAGAGCCAGTTTGGTGTAGTGGTTAACTGCATGGACTCTAATCTGGGAGAACCGGGTTTGTTCTCTCACAGCTTTCTCAGCCCCACCTACCTCACAGGGTGTCTGTTGTAGGGAGGGGAAGAAAAACGAGTTTGTAAGCCACTCTGAGACGCCGAGTGAAGGGCAGGGTATAAATCCAATCTCTTCTTCTATTACTGTGTGATGAGCTGTTTTGATGGGGGGGCTGTCTGTGTGCAAAAAAAGGTTTGCCCCCAGTACTTGTGAAAGAGAACTGTCATTATCCAGTAGAGGTTGTAAGTTGCTGATGACACGTTGAGTTGAGAGCTGTATGTGACCACTAGTGGTGTTCTGTTGTTACCTCTTTTGGGCCTATCTTGCAACAGGTTTTCTCTGGGTACCATTCTTGCTTTGTTAATCTGTTTCTTGACTTCATCAGGTGGATGTTTTAGTTCCAAAAAGGTTTGTTGTAGATCCCTCAGGTTAGAATCTCTGTCTGTAGGACTGGAGCAGATGCAGCTGTAGTCTAGAGCTTGGTGGTATACAATGGATCATTTGGTATATTTAGGGTGATAGCTAGAGGCATGCAGGTATGTTTGTGGGTTAGCAGGTTTCCAGTATAGGATGGTTTCTATGTCTCCATTGTGTATTTTTACAACACCACCAAGAAAATGTATTTCTTGGATAGATTGGTTCACTGTCAGGTTGATGGTGGGGTGAAAATCATTGAATGCCTGGTGGAATATGTCCAGGGCTTCTTTACCATCTGTCCCAGGACTTAATAAACCTTGAATAAAACTTTGTTGGTTTTAAAGGTGTCACTGGACTCAAACGTTTGTTCTGCCACTTCAGACCAACACAGCTACCCACCTGAATCTATACCCATAACTAAAGTTAGCCATAAGTACAAAGCAGAGCAAAAGGTTCTGTCTCACCACGTTGCTACTTTTCTACTTAAGGAACAATTTTTTAAAATCGTTCTAACTTTACTACCTCACTCTGCCGCACGTGTAGATCTGACCCCACCGAGACCCGCCTCCCTGGCTCGATCATAACCACTAACCTACCTCCGCCCAAAACGACGTCTTTGTTAGCCGAATACTGACCCTTCCTCACCTCAAACGCGCTGTAGTCTGGCGCAGACAGGTAACTCAAGTAGTTCTTGGTGGGCCGATAACGCCGCGTCTCCTCCTCCACCAGCGCCGCGGCCTGGACAGACAAACAAGCAGAGATTAGATCAGCTTCTCTGTCGGGCTCCGAGTGGCCTCAGCCCACCTCGCCACTCACCGCCTCCCGCACGCCCGGCGCCTCATAGCCTTGATCGAAATACGGAAGAGCACGGCTACTTCGCCGGCCACCAGACCCGGGCCCGCCATCTTCACTGCCCGCCTCCAAAACCTTAATTGCACCGTACATGCGCTGTCGCCCAGTGTCTCTGCGCGTGCGCACCTCTCCAGCTGTTTAGGGAACCGGCTCCTACGGCGCCTGCCTACATTTTACTGTTCGGCAAAGCCGCCAGCTCCCCCTGCAGGTTAGTCTTCTGTATAGCCAGTAGTTTCAGAAAGTAGTGCATAGTTGCCCTAGTAGTGATTAGTATTAATTACTGGTACGCTGCTTTGGGTTGGGTCCCGTTCGCGAAGAAAAAAAAAGCGAGGTGGTGGCGGCTACAAGCATGGAAAGCTTCAAGAGGGAATTAGATAAGAATATGGAGCAGAAGTCCATCAAGGTGTAGATAGGAACTCTCAGGCTGGGGCAAGTGATGCACTGTATTCTTGCTGCTTGGGGGGGGGGGCAATAGTGGGAGGGCTTCTAGTGTTCTGGCCCCACTGCTGGACCTCCTGATGGCACCTGGTATTTTTGGCCACTGTGTGACAGAGTGTTGGACTAGATGGGCCATTGGCCTGATCCAACATTGGCTTCTCTTATGTTCTTATGAGTTAAAAGTATTTTAAATACATATGTATTTAAATAACTGTGTAATGTCATCGAAGTTCTGGAATCTAGACTGCATTCTGCTGAGCTGCAAATCCTACAGATTGGAGCAAATGGAGTGTGAATATATTCCACAATTAAGGATACATCTGCCCATCAATCTCCAATTCTGGTATATTTCTTTCTTTGACTATGTTTCCCCCAGGAATTAAACCCAAACAAATGGTAACCATATAAACTAA